GCGAATAACTGCGAAGATGCATGTGAAGCCCTTAGCACAGTCTAGTAGGTAGTAAGGACTTAAACCATGGTAGCTGCCTGCCTGTTTCCCTCTCAGCCCGAGCCTGATCCGGGCCTGACCTTGCCTTCTATCTCACCCCGCTTTTGTCCCCAGATTTTCAGCCAAGTGTGGCCTGAAAGCTGTCTTTGTGGGGCAGCCAGCCACCCAGGCCCAACCGCAGCTCGGGTCTCATCAGTGCCACTGCTATAAACAGACAGAAGCATTGTAAGTAAACAACCGCTCCCCGGTGGCCCTGAAGGCCGCTGGCCTCTCGAGAGGGGGTTTGGAGGGTGGCAGTCTCGTTTGATTCAAATAACACTCAGACCTAAGGGCAGGGTGGGCCGTGAAAGCCCCCCCCCCCCCGCCCCGGCCAGGCAGAGCCCCAGTGGGGTGCAGAAAGCCAGAGGGCATCCAGGCGCTGTCCTGACGTCTGTCTCGCCCACCCTCAGTGGGGCCTTGCCACCCCTGCCCTGGGTCCTTTCTTCTCACTGAGCTGTGCCCTCCCCGCAGTGAGGAGCTGCCACTCAGGGCACCCACTCGCCTCATCCCCAGGCGTGACCACACAGCTGTACCAACAGCAGCGCACGTCCCGGGGCACCTTACCCACGCCGTCTGAGACCTTCACCGGCCCAAGGCGAGGGGTGCCATCACAGGTAAAGAGGCTCCCTCCTGGTAAAACGGCTAGCCCCAAATCATAGGGCTGGGGTGACACGACTGGAATCGGAATCCACGTCTCGGCTGTCAGCCGTGCTCCACGCTGGAAAATCACTTCTACCTGCCCTGGAGGCAGTCCTCGAAGCTTCGAGGGCTCAACCTTACCCTTCTTTCACCAGGGCAAGCGCACACTCAAACGACCACCCCCCCCACACACACACACACACCCTGCCAAACAAACAAACAAACAAACAAAAAAAGCCAAGCGTGTTTGCTGAATGACTACAAACGGACCCAGAAACCAGAATGCAAACGGCAGAGGTTTCTCCGGGGGAGGGGGGCGGGTTGCACACGCACCAGTGCTCCGCACACTGTTTCACAAGCACCAATGCATCCCACCCTCAGAACCACCTGAGAGGGTTGGGGGGTCTGATTCTCGCTTTACAGCGGAAGAAACGGAGGACAGAGGACAGAGGTGAAGTGACGGGCCCGAGGCGCACGCTCTTAAGAGGCAGGGCTGAGTGCGTTCCTGGGGCTGGGGTCCTGATGCCTCACTCAGCCCCTCTGTGCGGTGAGGACCACAGGGTGGCAGGCCCCCTTGGAGGGGACCCCCAGAGGCTGTCCCTTCTGGGTGACCAGCGCCCCCTGTGGATGTGGCACAGCGCTGGAGATCATCGTGAGTCTGCTCAGTAAATGGATGCACAGATAAACAGATTACTTCCTGGACTCCCTTCGAGTTCTAGAAGCATAGTATACGTGCTAAAAGCATGGACCCTAAAGCCACACTGCCTGGGTACCTCAGGGTTCTCGTCTGTACAACGGGTTATATATATTTATGAATTTATAACTCTATGGCTGTCTCAATTTGTTTTTGGAGCAAGTCACGGTTATGTGTGCCTTTATTTTATTTATTTTTTTTTTAAATGAAACTATTTAACGTTTATTTATTTTTGGGACAGAGAGAGACAAAGCACGAATGGGGGAGGGGCAGAGAGAGAGGGAGACACAGAATTGGAAACAGGCTCCAGGCTCCGAGCCATCAGCCCAGAGCCAGATGCGGGGCTCGAACTCACAGACCGCGAGATCGTGACCTGGCTGAAGTCGGACGTTTAACCGACTGCGCCACCCAGGCGCCCCTATGTGTGCCTTTAAAAGTATGCATTTACTAAGTTGGTATCTGACCACACTGATGTAAGCATTACCTCTTATATCTGGTTTTATATAAGAGATTGAGTTCAGGCGTTGATCCATACCATTTGTGGGGGAGGGGTCCCCAAGTAGTCTTGGCACTTTGAGCCACTTTGCTTTCCTTCTGTTTCAGGCGAAATGACCTGAAGGGGGTAATTTTAAATGCCAAAGCTGCGAATGTTCTGTGTTGCTAGGGAAAAGCTCAGAGCAAGCTTCTCGGACGCCCCAGGGCCAAGATAAAAATGGAAATGACTAGTGGGTGCTAGAAAAGCGCCTTGCCCAGAAGGGAGCTTGGAGCTCAGAGCGCGTCAGGGTGTGGAGAACTGTCCCCTCCCGAGAGCCGAGGAAGGGCCTGCAAGGCTTTGCCAAGGGACACGGCGGAGACCAAAGGCGAACTCCTTCACTCCATACACGTCCCCTGTGCCTCTGGAGCCAGGCCCTGCTGTCACTCACAAAGCGTCACCCCTGTGTTTGCGGAGCTCACTTTTCAACAAGGTACACAGATGCAGAAATGAGACAGCGTAGCAGGACCTCCCAAGCACGCCACGGCCCTGCTTTCAGTTCCGCACATGGAAGGATGGAGAAAATGTCCCCCACCAGGACCCACCAGGGAGGACATTTTATTTCTTGGAAAGAAATATTTTGGCAGAATGACTGGGATGGTGAGACCCTTAGCTCATGTTCACATGAAAAGGATACGACTTAACAGTACAGGGACAGGGAGACAAGGAGAGGAATGTGTCTTCTCCCAAGGGAAATGACCAAAGAGAACATGAGAGAAGGGAATCTTCAGGGCTTTTTATTGTGGAGAGCACCATGGCACCCCAGGCCTCCGGCCCATGTACTGAATCTTGGAAAAGTTTGCAGTCACCACCGCTGTCACCGTGTGAGTGGACGACTTCGAGAGCTCTCAGAGGGGCTGGGTGCATTTTGCTTTTGCAGTAACAGCTACCCTATGCCAGGCATTATTCTCCGTATGTGACGCAACTGACACATTTAATCCTCGTGACAATTTTGCAAGGTTAATCCTATTATCACCCCCATTTTCCAGGGGAGGAAAGTGAGGCACAAAGAGAGCAAAGAACCTTCCCCGAGGCTCACAGTTCCTGGGCAGCAGACCCGGGATCCAGCCCAGGCCAGCCCGGCTTTGGGCCTGGGAAAAAGGACCCCTGTCCCAGGCCACACATTTCAGAGGCTCCCGCTCTGTTCCTCCTCTGACCATGCCTGTGCCCGCAGGGCAAGGACCACGGACGTGCCCACCTGGATCCCATGTTCTTAGACCCACGGCCTGGGTACTCAGTATGCCAGAACTGCCTTCCCAAACGGCTCTGTCAGGTAAGACCGGGGTGACCCTGATCAAAGTATGCTGAAAGGAATGGACACGGGGAGCTCCACAGTGTCCATTCCGGCCGACACGCAGTGAGAAACTCACTCTGTCCGTCTGCTCGAGCTGCCATCACAAACTGCCACGGACTGGTGGCTTAAGCAACAGAGATTGATTTTCTCACAGTTCTGGAGGCTGGAAGTCCAAGGTCAGGGTGCCAGCGTGGTCTCGTTCTGGGGAGGGCCCTCTTCCCAGTTAGCAGACAGCCACCTTCTCGCTGCGTCCTCACATGGCTTTTTCTCAGCGCTTCGCTGAGGAAGACAGACCTCAGACTCCCTGGTGCCTCTTCCTATAAGGGCCCTAATCCTATCAGATCAGGGCCCTCACTAACCTTAGTCACTTCTACAAAGGCCCTATATCTCCAAATATGGTCATGTTGGGGTTTAGAGCCTGAACGTACGAACTTGGCAGGGGAGGGTGGGAGGGAACAGGGCCAAAACATTCAGTCCATAAGGCTTACCAGGAAAAACACGGGCGTCTTGGTGGTGGGTGATTCAGGCGCAGCACCCGAAAGCTGGTGGACGCTGCTTGGGGTTTCATTTGGGGAAATGATATCCAAACATGAACCAAGGGACCGGACTCTGGAGCCTGCGTGTGGAACATCACTGCAGGAACAGCAATACAGAAGAGGAACTTCCTCCCCTCCACAGGGCTGTGCAAGCTGGTGTTCAACAGTGCCACCTTGTGGCGCAGAGAGGCAAGAGCAAGAAGGGATTTGACTCCCCAGTTCCCTCTGCATCTGGTATTTCAGAAGCAGGACAACAGAAAGCCCTGGGGTTTTGGAAAAATCAAAAGCAAGATATTACACTTTATCACAACAGAGTTTGAGGGGGAGGGAGCATTCAAGTGATTAACTAGAAGAAATATGACTAGATTTGTACCCTAAGCTATTGGTATAACTCCTACCGGTTCCACAGGAAATGAACGTATCAGCATAGCTGTTTAGCAGCTTCGTAAGGAAGTTTTGTAGGGGCGCCTGGATGGCTCAGTCGGTTGAGCATCTGACTTCGGCTCAGGCCAGGATCTCACAGTTCATGAGTTTGAGCCCCGTGTCGGGCTCTGTGCTGACAGCTCAGAGCCTGGGGCCTGCTTCTGATTCTGTGTCTCCCTCTCTCTCTGCCCCATCCCCACTCATGCTCTCTGTCTTAAAAAAATAAATAAAACATTAAAAAATAAAAAGAAGTTTTGTAGCCATTCAGACTGGCTACTCTTTTAATACATTCACAGCACACAAGAGCATAGGCACAGCTAAATATCCAGAGTGTATGGTGAGCCTTTAGAGGTTCTCTCATAAAATAAAATGCTTGAAATGCTTTTTAAAAGCGAAAACCCAAGACAGAGCCATTGTCTAAGGTCTAACTGGGGCAAATTACCATGTTCAGATTTGTGCAACCGGGATCCCTAAAAACGGTATCAATCTTGGGGCACCTGGGTGGATCAGTCGGTTAAGCGTCCGACTCTTGATTACAACTCAGGTCATGATCTCATGGTTCGTGAGTTGGAGCCCTGCACGGGGGCTCTGCGCTAACCCAACTTGGGAATCTCTGTCTCCCTCTATCTGTGCCTCTCCCCTGATGATCTCTCTCTCTCTCAAAATAAATAAATACACATTTAAAAAACCATATCGGGGGCGCCTGGGTGGCGCAGTCGGTTAAGCGTCCGACTTCAGCCAGGTCACGATCTCGCGGTCCGTGAGTTTGAGCCCTGCGTCGGGCTCTGGGCTGATGGCTCAGAGCCTGGAGCCTGTTTCCGATTCTGTGTCTCCCTCTCTCTCTGCCCCTCCCCCGTTCATGCTCTGTCTCTCTCTGTCCCAAAAATAAATAAAAAACGTTGAAAAAAAATTAAAAAAAAAAAACCATATCGATGATCTGTTGAAAAGCAGGCTTTAAAAAAAAAAAGTAATGGTTTATAACAACAAGACACCCCTCCATACCTATTAGAATGACCAAAATCCAAAACACTGGCCCCCAAATGCTGGTGAGGATGTAAAGCGACAGGAACTCTCATTCATTGCTGGTGCAGATGCAAAATGGTACAGCTACTTTGAAAGCCAGTTTGGCTGCTCCTTACAAAACTAAACATAATTTTACCATACAATCCCACGATAGTGCTCCTTAGGTATTTGCCCAAAGGAGTTGAAACCTTATGTCTACACAAAAACCTACCCGCAGCTGTTTACAGCAGCTTCATTCTTAATTGCCAAACCTTGGGAGCGACCAAGATGTTCTCCAGTAGGTGGGTGGATAAAAAAACAAACTGCGGTGCATCCAGAAACTGGAATATTATTCAGTGCTAAAAAGAAGTGAGCTGTGAAGTCATGAAAAGACATGAAGGGAACTTAAATGCAGATCATTGCATGCAAGAAGCCAATCTGCAAAGGCTACACAGTGCATGATTCTAACTAGGTGATATTCCGGGCAAGGCAAAACTACGGAGACCATGAAAAGATCAGAGGTGGGGCGCCTAGGTGGCTCAGTCGGTTGAGCGTCCCACTTCGGCCCAGGTCATGATCTCACGGCTCGGGAGTTCGAGCCCCGCGTCAGGCTCTGTGCTGACGGCTCGGAGCCTGCAGCCTGCTTCAGATTCTGTGCCTCCCTCTCTCTCTGCCCCAACCCACTCGCATTCTGTCTCTGTCTCTCTCAAAAATAAATAATCATCAAAAAAAAAAAAAAAAAAAGAGAGAGAGATCAGAGGTTGCCAGGGTTAGGTGTGGGGAGATGAACAGGAAGAGCACAGAGGAATTTTAGGAGAGTGAAAATACTCTGTATGATATGATAGTGGTGGATAGGTGCCATTATACTTTGTCCAAACCCACAGAATGCACAAACCAAGGGCGAACCCTAAAGTAAACTATGGACTTGGGGGGACTGTGATGGGCAGGGCCACCCTTGGTCACAAATGTCCCACTCCGGTGAGTGAGAGTTGATGATGGGTGAGGCTATGCATGTGTGGGGTCAGAGGATATGTGGGGAATCTCTCTGTCCCTCCCTCTCAATTTTGTTCTGGTCCTGAAACTGCTGTAAAAAATTAAGGTCTTAAAAAAAAAAAAAGTAGTAGCAATGTAGAATCGTTGAGTCGTTTTCTTAAGAGTCAGGAGCTGGAGCTCCGCATCAGAAGAGGAAATGTATTCTCCACCATTCACTCTTTAATTTTGGTAATTCACTGTTGTGCAAATATCACGTAGACATCATCTCATGTCACCCCTTCCCGCAATTATAGAGACTGAGGAGCAGAGAGGTTCCAGTGAATTGTCCAAGGTCAAATAGTAAGTAATGATAGATGTAGGAGTCCAACCCAGTTTTGCCACCACTCAGCCTGTCTCTCCGTAAAGAGGACGTGAAGCCTGCAGCAGGCGTTAGGAAAAGTCTGAAAGTTGATTTCAGATACCTGCTAGGAAGGCAATGGCTTGTCTGACATCTTGATTTGGGATTCAGGAATGCAGACACAGTACTTAGTCCTAAACCTGTCTACGGACAACCACCAGAGAATACTTTCCGTCCAGTTGCAAGGGATTCATGCCCAAGACACATGAACTCAGCAAGAAACTGCATCTCATGCCCCAGAGTCTGCAGGCAGCCCAAGAACATAGCAACTGAGAATAGGATGTCTCCTGTAGCCCCCATGCCGACGTGTGGGCGGAGCTCATGGCCTGACTCCGGCAGCACTAAGGAAGCATTATGTGACTGTAACAAATGGAAAAATCCATATTTCCTTCTGGAAATAAATCTCAGCCCTTAGGTGACACCAAGTCCACTGGCAGGGACTCCATGACCTTGGGCAGGCGCTTGCTGGACTCCCCGAGACATTCATAGCATAATCAAAAGGACACACACATCAGTGCCCATAAAGCTTCCCCGGGGTGGGGGAGAGACAAACTTTGGCAACGGTGGCATTTTATTAGATGGCTGCCCCGTACAGTAAAAATAACCTTTGCATTTAGTAGCCAGATCTTTTTTTTTTTTTTTTTCCAAATTGCTTTTGCCTTTCATTAAACAGCCCAATCCAGAAGAGTCTTTCCTTTCATCACAGAGTGGAAAAATTCTCGGTGGCATTCTCCCAGACCTGGGGCCCACCCACTCACGAGTCCCAGGGGCCCCACACGCCCTGATCAGGTGACTCTGGGGTATTCGCTGCACATCATCTCAGGAGGTCTACGTACACAGCTCAGTTCTGGCCACTCAAAGATGAGAGGAAGGAGGAGAAACACTTTGGGGACCGAGAATTTTGTTGTGGTTTTATAACTGACCTTTTTTTTTTTTTTTTTTTTCTTTTTTAAACAATCTGCCCAGGGAAAAAGAGAAAACTTTTCCACTATTGCTTGGGCAGCTCATGAATGCATTAGGTCAAGACTCCCGGGCATGGCGTCACCGTGATGGTACAGCAGAGACAGCCTGGGGCACCGGCGTCAGGAACACACGGCCCCTCTTTCAAGGCGTTTGTGAGGAAGGGAGAGGCCACGCAAGCTCTCCTTCCTCTTGCCCTTCTCCCTGAGGGGCACCAGTTCCTCCTTTTCCCTAAAGGAATCGAAGACCAATTCCACACCTGGAGATATGTCTTCCCTGCCCCACCTCCCCCTCTGGTTAATAACAGATTTTAAACGAATGGTTCCAATCTCCTGTGCAGAGTTCCAAATAACCATGTAGCTACCCTACCTTCGAGGAGGGGGACCAGAACTCCCTGCCATTTGAAGTATGGGCTGCACGTGGCGACTTCCTGCAAAGAGGAGGTATGGCAACAGGTGGAAAGGGTGACCTCATGGAGAAGAAACCTGACAAAGCCTACCTTGGCCGGGCGATGAAAGTCAACAGCAACCGTGAGAAGTCACACTGACGGTATGTTCCCTTGACATGATGTGATGTGAGTGGCATTTTACCTCTGTGGTCTTCCTCCCCAAACCTATAACCTCATTTCACTCATGAGAAAAATAACAGACAAACTCCAGCGAGGGGGGTAGGGGGCATTCTACAAAATGCCTGACCAGTATTCTTTCAACTGTCAAGGTCATCAAAAACCTGATGGAAAAGGAAAATCTGGGAAACTGTCACAGCCAAGAGGAGCCTAAAATGACATGGTCACTAATTGCCATGCAGAGTCCTGGGTGGGACCCTGGAACAGAAAAAAAGGATACTAGGTAAAAACCAAAGAAATCTGCATTGATATTAGTTAATAACAATGTATCGATGCTTGTTCATTAATTGGGACAGATGCACCACGCTAATATATTAATAATAGGGTCAACTGAGCATGAAATATGTGAAAACTCTCTGTATTGCCCTTACAGTTTTTCTGTAAATCTAAAACTGAAAATTTAAAGTTTATTTAAAAACAATGAATGGCTTTGGTTTTGCCTCTTGCTCCCCTTGTCTGCCTTCTCCTATGACCTTCTTAGCTGTTCTCACAGTCTACTTGATGTACTTCTGTGCTTATCAGTTTTGCTTCCTCCCTCTGGAGAGATCTATACAAGTTGAGTCCATCAAGCCAGTCATTGACCCAAAGACGGACACACCAGTATCTCCCAGTCCTCCTCAGGCATTCTTAAGGGAGCTCCCAAGGGTCTGGGGCCAACACGTTGTTCAATACTTACCGCACAGCTACTAGGCTAAGTCCGATATTCACAGGAGCTGAAATTCTCCACTGGTTCCTGTTGGAAGTTATGAGTGATAAATCAATCATCATAATAATGATGTTTATGACTTGTGTGACTTGTGTACTGCCAATATCCTGTGGACTGTTTCGAAACGCAGATGATACAGAAGCCCTCGGCCCTATTATAAATCTGCCTAATTTGCCTATTAACACGGAAACAGAATCACGTGACATTTGGCCCTTGGTGACCAACATAATGCTTTCAAAGTTCATCCATGTTGTAACACCTACCAGGTACTTCCTTTTATAGCCAAATAATATTCCATTGTATGGAGACACCGCATTTTGTTATCCATTCATCAGTGTATGGACTCTTGGGTTATTCCCACTTTTTCCTATTACGAATAATGCTTCCGTGAACATTCGTGTACTGTACTAGTTTTTGTGGGGATATACGTTCCCATTTCTCTTGGATACATCCCAGGACTGGAATTGCTGGATCACAAGGTAACTCTCAGTTTAACCCTCTGAGGAATTGCCAAGCTGTTTTCCAAAGTGCTGTGCTATCTCTACTCTCACCAGCTGTCTATGAAGCTTCAAATCTCTCCACCTTCTTTCTAAGACTTGTTCCGATCTCCCCCGGATCATAGCCATCCTAGCGGGTATAAAGTCACTGGGGCTTTGATTTGCATTTTCCTGATGACTAATGATGTCGAGCATCTTTTCACGTGCTTATTTGGCCACACGCACACCTTCTTTGGAAAGCTGCCCATCCAAAATGCTTTGTCCATTTTTTAAAAACATTGTTAACGCTTATTTTTATTTTTTATTTTAATTTTCATTTTTTTCATTTTTTCAATTTTATTTTATTCATATTTTGCTTTCCTAGAAATAAATCTCGGCCCTTAGGTGACACCGAATCCACTGGCGGGGACTCCATGCCCCTGAACTAACTCCCTGAGACATTCACTGCATAATCAAAGGGACAGACACTTAAGTGCCCATAATTATCCCACAAGCGGGGGAGGGTCAGAGAGAGAAGGAAACACAGAATCTGAAGCAGGCTCCAGGCTCCGAGCTGTCAGCACAGAGCCCAACGCGGGGCTCGAACCCACAAATCACAAGATCATGGCCTGCGCCAAAATCGGACGCTTAACCGACTGAGCCACCCAGGAGTCCCCGCTTTGTCCATTTTGAAACTGGCCTGTCATATTCTTATTGAGTTGTAATGGTTTATATATTCTAAGTGTGAAGTCCCTCATCAAACATATGATTTGCAAAATTTTCATCTCGTTCTGTAGGTTGTCTTTTTATGTTCTTGTTGATGCCACCTGAAGTGCAGAAGCTTTCAGTTTTAACCTTGTCCAGTTTATTTGTTGTTGCCTACACTTTTGGCATCATGTCTAAGAAAGTAGGGTCTACTTATGAAGATAAAAAGCTTCTGCACAGCAAAGGAAACAACAAAACTAAAAAGCAACCAACGGAATGGGAAAAGATATTTGCAAATGACATATCGGACAAAGGGCTAGTATCCAAAATCTATAAAGAGCTCACCAAACTCCACACCCGAAAAACAAATAACCCAGTGAAGAAATGGGCAGAAAACATGAATAGACACTTCTCTAAAGAAGACATCCGGATGGCCAACAGGTACATGAAAAGATGCTCAACGTCACTCCTCATCAGGGAAATACAAATCAAAACCACACTCAGATATCACCTCACGCCAGTCAGAGTGGCCAAAATGAACAAATCAGGAGACTATAGATGCTGGAGAGGATGTGGAGAAACAGGAACCCTCTTGCACTGTTGGTGGGAATGCAAACTGGTGCAGCCGCTCTGGAAAACAGTGTGGAGGTTCCTCAAAAATTAAAGATAGACCTGCCCTATGACCCAGCAGTAGCACTGCTAGGAATTTACCCAAGGGATACAGGAGTGCTGATGCCTAGGGGCACTTGTACCCCAATGTTTATAGCAGCACTCTCAACAATAGCCAAATTATGGAAAGAGCCTAAATGTCCATCAGCTGATGAATGGATAAAGAAATTGTGGTTTATATACACAATGGAGTACTACGTGGCAATGAGAAAGAATGAAATATGGCCCTTTGTAGCAACGTGGATGGAACTGGAGAGTATTATACTAAGTGAAATAAGCCACACAGAGAAAGACTGATACCATATGTTTTCACTCTTATGTGGATCCTGAGAAACTTAGCAGAACCCCATGGGGGAGGGGAAGGAAAAAAAAAAAAGAGGTTAGAGTGGGAGAGAGCCAAAGCATAAAAGACTCTTAAAAAACTGAGAGAGCCAAAGCATAAAAGACTCTTAAAAAACTAAGGGTTGATGGGGGGTGGGAGGGAGGGAAGGGTGGGTGATGGGTATTGAGGAGGGAACCTTTTGAGATGAGCACTGGGTGTTGTATGGAAACCAATTTAACAATAAATTTCATCTATTGAAAAAAAAATAAGAAAGCAGGGTCTAATCCAAGGTTACAAAGATTTATACCTCTGTTTTGTTCTAAGAGTTTTATAGCTCCAGCTCTTCCATTTAGGTCTTTGATTCATTTTAAATTCATTTTTATATATTATGCAAGGTAGGGGTCCAAGTTCCTTCTTTTGCATGTGTGTATCCAGTCATCCCAACACCACTTATTGGAAAGATTATTCTCTCTCCAATTTAATTGTCTTGGCAACCCTGTCAGAAATCAATTGACCGTAAATGTGAGGGTTTATTTCTGCAGTCTCAATTCTATTCCACTGATGTACATGTCTCTTTATGATGGTACCACACTGTCTTGATTACTATAGCTTTCCAGGAAGTTTTGAAATCAGTAACGGTGAGATTTCTAACCTGTTCTTCTTTTTTCAAGATTATTTTGGCTACTTGGGGTCCCTTGAATTTCCGTATGAATTTTAGAATCTGCTTGTCATTTTCTGCCAAGAAATCACCTGGGTCTGACAGGAATTGCCCTGACTCCGTAGGTCAATTTGGGGAGTATTGCCACCCATATTAGTTTTCTAGAACTGTCATAATAAAGCACCACAAACTGGGTGGCTTAAATAACTGTATCACCTCACAGTTCTGAAGGCTAGAAGTCTGAGGTCAAGGTGTTGACAGGGCTGGTTCATTCTGGGGGCTGTAAGGGAGGATCTGTTCCATTCCTCCCCCCAGCTTCGGTTGTTTTCTGGCAATCTTTGGCATCCCTTGTCTTGTAAATGCATCACTCTGATCTCTGCCTTCGTCTTCACATGTTGTGAAGATGTCCTTTTATAAAGACACCTGTCATATTGGACTAGGCCCACTCTAATGATCTCATCTACACTTAATCATCTGCAAAGATCCTATTTCCAAATACGGTCACATCACAGGTACTGGAGGTTAAGATTTCAACATCTTTTGGGGGAAACACAACTCAATCTGTAACACCATCTTAATTAACAATGTTAGGTCTTCTGATCCATGAACATGAGATGTCTTTCCATTTATTTGCGACTTCTTCAATTTCAACAACGTTTTGTAGTTTTCAAAGTATAGGTTTTATACTTGGTTAAAATTTTTCTTGGTATTTGATTCTTTTTGATGCTATTATTGTCAATGAAATTTTTCTTAATGTAATTTGCACTTTACTCATTGCTACTATATCAAAATAAAATTGACTTTTGTACCTTGATCTTGTATCCTGCAACCATGCTGAGCTTATTTATTGCTTCTAATAGTTTTTTAGTGTATTCCTTATGTCATTCTATCTGCAAAGAGATAGTTTTATTTCTTCTGCTTCTATCAGGATGCCTTTCTTTCATTTTCTTGCCTATTACTTTTCTTTTGCCCTGATTTCTACATCATTTTTTTCTTTCTTCTTCGTGTGGTACATACTTCTGTAAGCCATCCCAAATCATTTTGTAAAAGATGGGATATAAATTAACACATTTAAAAATAAAGCTCATACTCTATTAATACAATCTGGTTTTTTTTTTTCAATTCACCCAGAAGCCCTGAATTTTGACAATGAATCTTCCTTGATTCCACTGAATTTTTAGAGGCCAAAAAAAAAAAAAAATCCAAAATTCCTGATGATCTAGCAACTTAATTATCTACCAAATATCGAAGGATGATGATATCAACCATCATCCTTCAAAATGATGCTTTGCAAGAAGGGCAATATATAAATATATTTCATCCTATAAAAACACACTAACTTTTTTTAAGTATTATAAACAGTACCAGATTATCAGGTCTTTAAGAAAACTCTAGGGACTGCAAATTCGCGAAGTGGTCTGTGACAGGTGGTGAGTGCAAGTTCATTGTTTAATGTCTTTCTTTGCCTTCTCCCAGGGCAGACCTGTGTCTTGGCTTCATTTCTAGCTCCAGCACTGGTACTGTCCCTGACATATAATGAGTATTTAGTGAATATTGGTCAATTCTAATTCAGATGAGCTGATTTGTTATCTCTTAAGAAGAACATTTCAATGTATTTCTGATCTCAAATGATTTTAACTCTGAAAACATATTAATGCTTCCCTAACAATTTTAATGGTGGCTAAGTTGACCAGGTGTACACCACTTCTAGGCTGTGGAACAAACGAATGGGAAAGTAAATTCCCTCCTGTTACTCGTCAGCTGCACGGACTCTGCACTGGTATTCTCCAAGGATCAATCGGCCTCCCCCTCCCCACCCACGGGGCTGATGCTGCATGGGCAGATCCAGGAATTTTCTTCTTTGCCCAGAAGAAAGGCAGGAGGGTTCAGTTCATGGGACACCGTACATTTCTATGCCACTAAGCCTCATCATTGCTAAGTGCAAGGGCTTTCGTGATTTATTGCCTTTTATCCTTACCCTAGTTATTTACTGCTGGGCAACAAAAGGGCCCCAAACTTAGTGATGTTATTATCCTATCACATTTTTTTTCAACGTTTATTTATTTTTGGGACAGAGAGAGGCAGAGCATGAACGGGGGAGGAGCAGAGAGAGAGGGAGACACAGAATCGGAAACAGGCTCCAGGCTCCGAGCCATCAGCCCAGAGCCTGATGCGGGGCTCGAACTCACGGACCGCG